GTGAACTTTAGTTGAGTTAAAAATGCTATAATTAATTTATGAGACCAATCTAAAATCTCTTAAGTAGGCTACGGGAAAATTATTCCTCTAAGAAAGAAATGAAACAAAATAAAATGTTATTATAAACTGACTCCTGGTGACTGTCCAAATTAAGTTTCATTATTTGCATACAACAGCAAGCAATTGAACAGGAAGAAGATTGCAACATCATTGTAACCCACAAAATAACAAGCCCTGAGCTTTGAAGGGACATTTGGGGAGCATAGCTTGGATTTTTCATTCATCAGTTTCAATGAATCTTTCATGTGCAAAGAGAAACGTTATGTACCCCTGTATGTGAATTTAGCTTTATATAAAGAACGTCAAAGATGCTAAAGGAAAATATATCATTGAATCAAACACTGAAAAGACCATTAGGGTAAGTACAGACAGACAAACAGCCCACAGTAGAATCGATTCAATCTACTCAGGGTTCTCTATCAGTTGTAGATTCAACTGATACCAAACATAAGAAACATTTACTTTTCAGTTGAAAAAAAGCAGATGGAGGCCTGCACTGGCCTAGGCAAAAAGGTGGGAGTGCTAAAACATGCTTCCCAGCCTGCTGGTCAGCCAGGGCATCCCTGATTGACTGGCCAGAACATGCCCCCAACCTCCTGCTGTCACCTATGGAGTGGGGGAGGGGGGAAACACAGTGCCCTATCCCCAGGAAGTTCCAAGTGGGCCATCTGCCCACATGGAAGAGGAGCCCAAGGCTTCTGGGTAGTTTCCCTGAGCCCTGGTCTGCCCAGCTGTGGAGAGAGTGGTGATTCCCAACCTCCCAAACTCCCCGCCACCCCCATGGTCAGACTGGCATGTCACTGACATGCAGCAGGGAGAGAAAGCACCCCCTACCCTGGTCTCAGCCCTGAGTTCAGGTCTTCCCATTAGGTGGGGGAGGGGCAGATCCTGGGGGTTTTCCCATAGGCTCTATAGGAAAAAGGATCCGGCCCCACCACCTGGAACAAGCCCCCGGGGCTGCCCACTGCAGCCAGCACTGCAAGCCCCAGTGCTGGCTGCCACTGGTGCCGGAATCCAGCAGGAAGTGACAGGCAGCCCACGGGGCTTGCACCAGGCAGCAGAGATAGGAAAACTTCATACAGAGCAGGATCAGACTCCACTGCCTGGCGCAAGCCCCTGGCCCACCTGGCGTGTCCCGCAGGGCCTGGCATCAGCAGCAGCAGCCAACACGATGCAGTGCGCAGGCCTTGGGAGCTTGCACCAAGTAGCAGGGTCTGATCTTGCCCTTCATGGAAATGTCCTGACCCTGCCACAGAGCATTAGCTTCTGTGCTCAGACTGCCTGCCCCCTGGCCATGGCACCTTGCATAAGAATCACTGATTGACACAGGTTACACTGATGGCATTAAGAGCAGAGTGCTGTACTTGTTGTAACAAGTCATTAATTTCCTTGATAAAAAAATGAAACACTTCAGTATTCCCCCCTCCATCCCTCACCCCCAGAACTGGGCAACATAGCTATGATCCTCAAATTTCTAAAATACAACATCTAAAATCCAGCAGTCCTTAACGGTACACCAGTATCTGAGTGCTTTTGGAACTGAAACTTTTTGAAGTAAAGTCTAAACTCATTCATCCATTAAAAAACAAAACAAAGAAACCTTTATGCCAGCACAGATGGTTTGATGTTCAAAATTCCTCAGCAACACCAGTCATCTTGGTAAATACAATATATAAAAACATTTACAGAAGCAAAAACATTTTTAGGTTTAATCAGCTTTGCAGTTTACTTACTGAGTTTTAGGAGAAGCTATCCATTTAACTTTGGGTAATTTCATGCCTCAGATATTGTATTGTTGCAAAGATGAAAATATACTTATTTTCACATAAAAACATGACCTTTTCAAGATACAAACATTTACACTATAAGCTAACATTTACAGCATAAGCTAACAGTATACGGAAAGAAACTCCTTTTTTCCTGAAAGGAATTTGAAAACTGTTTAAAATTTTGGCCAAATATTGAAGCTCAGAATATAACCAAGCCAAATGTTAACGTTCTGCCATTCTATATCTATTTCATATATCTTTATTTAAAAAAAGAAATGAAAGGTTTTTGTATTCACTATATCTTCATCAAAAGGAAAGGCACTTTTGACTTCCCTGTGAAGAATATCAGTTTTAGAAGTGACCCAACATTTCTCATTTCCAAATCTCCTTGAATATGAGCATGTTAGCAGATGTTAAGAATTATTTGCATAATTTTATTCACCTTTACTCATAGCCTCATGCTGAGACTGCATGTGAATTAACTAGTATGGATAGAAATTAACAAAGTATTCAATATATTTGTGCATATATTACTTGCTCATCCTATTTTCCATTAATGCATTATCCTATATTCTACACAGCAGTGTACTTTGTAATTTAACAGCATATAACATTCCTTTTCTTACTCAATATCTTTTGTAAATCCTCCTTTAATTTCCACTTTTTCCACAATGCATATTAACTATAATTTCCTTTAGCCCCTCAGTGAAGCAAAAATAACATGCAAAATGTTTGCCCTTTACAATACAAGCAAACAGAGAACTCAGGAAAGGGATCTAAAAAGTCATTAAAGTTCTCTAAAAGCTTCAGCAGCAACCAAAAAAGCCAGTAAAAGGTTGAGTGTCATAAGAAGCTAATTGAACACAAAACGGAGAACATCTTTATTCCATTATACTAATCCATGGTGCGCCCACATCTCAAGTACCGTGTACTGTTATCGTCTCAAAAGGATGTAGTTGAAATAGAAAAGGTACAGAGAAAGGCAACTAAAATGATCAAGGGGATGCTGCAGTTACCATACCAGGAGACACTACAAAGTCTATGTCTCTTCAGTTTGGAATGGAGAACGTTGACAGAAATCTGATGCAATACAAATCTATAAAATCATGAAGGTTGTGGACCATGTAACAGGGAACTGTTGTTCACCAGTACCAGAATACTAGGACTAGGAGGCACCAACTAAAATGAATAGGTGATAGGTTTAAAAGTAAACAAGAGAAGGTACTTTTTCATGCAATCCATATCTAACTTGTTGAATTCATTGCTACAGGAAGTGGTAGAGGCAAATAGCGTAGACTGGTTCAAAACCAGATAGGCAAACTCATGGACTATAGATTTATTAATAGCTGTTGAACAGAATAGTTAGCGATGCTTCCTCTAGCATCTCTAAACCAATAATGATGGATGCCAGTGAGGGTAATGGACAGGGGACAGACTATTCTATATGTAGTGAGGTCAGGCCAGAATCCTGGACTCAGCTGGTCCCAAACAAATAGCACCCTGGTGTCAGGTGGGCTGAGTGACACAATTAAGGCAACCAGTCCAGTGAAGGCACAGGCAACAGGCCCTACCCGCTCCAGCCCTTAAAAGCCAGGCCCAGCCTGCTGTCTCCTTGTCTGGGCAAAGCTGGAAGTTCCAGCTCCTGACATTCTGTGTACCTCCCCTCTCCTAATGTTCTGGTGTTGAATCCTGGCTGACTCTAGCTTCTGACTCCAATAAGACCCTTGGCATCTCCTAATTCGGGTTTGACCTTCAAGTCCGGCTTTTGGCTTCTGAACCCAGTTGAACATTGGCTAAACTTGTCTCCAATTTCAGCTTCTGACTTTGGCTTGTCCTAGCTAAGGCTTCTGAATTCAGTTCCAACACCACATCCCTCCAGATCCCAGACCCCTGGGGAATTATTTGGAACTACACATGTGCTTTGGGTAACCCACATCCCAGTGCTTGAAACTAGACTTATGCAGTTCAGTCCTCTCCCCCTAAAACATCCAATTCTGCTGTTGGGGACTGAATACTGGACTAGATGCATCATTGGTCTGACCCAACATAGCACTTCTGATGGTTTTATGTTCTTAAATAGAACAGACAAGAACATACAGTACTAACCCTGTCATTGACACACAGCCCTATTAAAAATGAAAAGATAAAATGAATTTGACTTCCTTTCCAGTTTGTACATTATGTCCAATGTTAGTTTAACAGAAAATTACAGCTCTTCAGAATAAAGCATACATACATGGGAAAACCTACTGCATCCCTAATACAAGGGTTTACATTTACATTCCAGAAGATTCTTCAAAAGCAGCAGCAAAACCCCCACCAGACCTTGCAGAATACTAAAGGGGGGTTAATTCATAAGTGCTCTTACTTAAGGAGAACATACTCAGTCATGTTTTCCACATTACATTTTCACCTGGACCCACTGCTATTCATTCTTCATCCTGAAGCTTGGAGAGGACAGTGGCAAAAATAACTTTGAAGTTAATCATCATCCAGAAAAAAAGAAAAGGACTTAAAGTAAGATTATAGAAAGCAGAATATTAGAAAATGGGTCCTTTGTCAAAGTTAAGTGCTATTATCACACAAAGAAATGCATCACTTTCTCCAGTGACACCAAGTTATAGGTCCAAAATAATGCCAGTTAAAACTGATACACCATGTGAAGTTGAATCTCTTCTTTGCAAGCTATTTAGTTAATGTCAGTGTAAAATACATTTTAGATAGTTAAAAAAATTGTAAAGATTTTCTTATAAACAGATATTACTTCAAACTATTTGATTTAGTACAAATATTAGGAAAATGTTATAATATACTTCAACCCTTAATCGTAGTTGAAGTGTAACCATGTAAATAAAAAATGCTGGAGCCTTAGCTGGAAGAAACTGGTGCAACCCCCCTGCCTTCAGTGACACTATATTGATTTACTACACTGACTTTAAGCCACATGAAACAGAAATTGAAAATAAAAAAATATCATTTTTTTTGTATTCCACCCTTGATGCTCTCACTACTGTAGAATTTCATCCTCTGATAAATAGATTAATTTAATTTGCCTCGACTTATATTTAGAAATAAAATGAGATTTATCAGCATCAATATTTTATAATTCAATCACCTCAGCCCGTACTACAGGCTGCGGCCATCTACATCATCATCAACATGAATACTTACTGGGTTTTGACAGCTAAGAACCTCTAGGATGCTGTTGAGTAATTCAACACAGTACTTCTTCTTCTCATGGACATGAGCCTGTTGCTCTTCCTTTTGTTCTAGTAATTCCTTCAGTTCTTTTGTAATCACTGGAAGCAAAATGTCTCTGCATTCTGAAAGTAAAATATTTATTTATTAAGAAAAATATGAATAAATCAGATGTTATTGGCAAACAAATCCTTGAAATACTGAAGTAAAACGCTCTTTCAGCTTTAATACTTGAACCCTCTTTTACCTTGGCATTCTCCATTTCCCTTTCATGCCTCAAGGATTCTCTAACTTCTGATACCCATATGTCTCACCAATCCACTTCACATATAAATTACAAAGTCAAGATAAAATGCTAGATGGTCTTCAGCTGAATTCTGAAGGCTATTTGCTGATGTGGACATTATTGTTGGTGAAAACTTGTTGACTTCATGTATGTACTGCAAAGCATTCTATATATTTCTGAAGTGACATGTGGGTTTCTCTCTCTACATGCTTTGTTTCTTCCTTTTGAAGAATAATTTTGAAAGGTTCACATTTGCACAGATAGTAAAATATCGTTTAAAAATTAAGTGGATTTCATATTATAATTTTATACCATGAACTACTTAGTGCAAATGCTTCAAAAAGAGAGCCTACCAGGACAAGGAAACAACAGTGCGTATAATGAGAAAGGTCATATTGATAGCTGGGTCAACCTTCGCCCTGTCTGGTTTTTTTTTTTTAATTTATTCTCTGGAAACATGGGTTGAAACAGTAGTGTATGTTAATTTAAAATAAGCTATTTAAGGACTATGGTTCAGGGATTAAGGACGAAGGATAAGATTTCCAGAACTGGATAATACCTGCTTTTGAACATTTAACGATCCAGAATATTAAGTATTACTTATATATACTCCATAATAAAGTAAGCAAGTAGGATGTATGGAAACAGTGTGAATGCAGCTGAGGAGAAGCCGCTTAAGGAAGGTTTCTTCTCATATGCAGGAAAATAAAATACTTTTATATATTACAGCTGTATGCAGCAGCTTTAGAGGATCCATCTTAAAACAAAAACACTAGCAGATGCCCTAAACTGACTGATTCTTTTTAACACACCACCAGTATGAAGTTTTGGCCCGTTTGTTTGATTTCTCAAACGTAAGAATGGGAAAGGATAGGGAGGCAGAGAAGGGGATAAACTATGTTTACTCATAATACTTACTCATCTTTCACTCAAAACAGATGTAATTTCTACTTTGAAACTAGCCTAATGTTATCTGAAAACAATATAATGTAGTTATATGTTTCTGTGGAGCAATCATTTGCCTTCAAAAAACTGCTCCAACTATTCTATATATGTAGGTCAGTCTTCCAGGGTGACGACATAAACTCCAGTTGTTCCAAAAGAGTAGCCATTTTGGGTTCTAACAGATTTCAAGTATTCACAATTAAAGTGAATTCTACAGGTGGGCTACAGGCATGCCCCACTCATAGTATCCCATCCTCCTTACCAGTTGTTATATTTGTCCAGGGCATTTATAAATAAATGATATAAGCTACAAGTGCAGGAAAGTGTGCTGCCAGATTAGCCAGCATGGATTACATTGTCAAAATAAACCTATACATTCAGTTTCATTAGCAGATTCAACAGAAAGTAACTTAAAATGTATATGTGCAAAGTAAATAAACTTAGATATCTCACAGCTACAGCAGCTGTTTAGGCTGCAGCAACGTGGCAGGGGCACCAACAAGACCCAGTCCTTTGGTACTGGTGGCAGTGTCAAGAGCACCAGCTGGGAGCCAACTGACTCTCCGTCCCCTTCCCTTGGAGAGGGCAGAAAAAAAGCAGAGAGGGCTGTGTAATGCAAGAGGACCAAGAGACCCCCTGCAGTGCTACATGTGTCGCCTGACAAGACACTGTATTACTTAGTAGTTTCTCTTTGAAAGACTAATATTTTTGTGGTGGGTCCACCATTTCTGTGGTGCTATCAATAGCACAAGCATCTGGACACTCACTTTTTGTAGCGTTAAAAGAGTCATTTAACATTAGAAATGTATTAAGTGCACATCGCCTAAATGTTCTCAACTTGTGACTAAGTTAAATGAGACAGGAAGTATTTAGTACCTAGGAGAATCAATCCCATAGAAATGGCTTTTCTCACTTCTGCATACTACAAACCTGCATAAAATGCATAAGCTACTGTCAACCAGGGGGAATTTGATAGGTCTTCAAATACCTGAAGGGTGATTATAGAGAGGATGGAGATGGGAGGAACTTTCTAACTATGAGGGTGGCCCAGCACTGGAATAGGCTAGCAAGAGATGTTGTGGATTCTCCGTGCTTCAAAATTTTCATGAGCAGGTAAAACACAGACAATTGGCTGGGATGGTTTAATCAGGAATGATCCTGCTTTGAACAGGGGGCTGGACAGGATGTGACCTTGTGAAGTCCCTTCCAGCCCTAATTTCCTATGAGGTTCAACAGTGCAATAGCTACTTTGCACAGGGCACTGCAAATAGCTATCCCACATCCTACCTGATTTCATGAACAGTGGTGATTGAAACCACATACTGTAAGGGACTCTTCTAAATAGTCTAATCCCTCTTTTTAAATAGGGATATTTTTTTAAACTCTCTTTAAAAAAAGAAAGTAATTTTTGACAAAAAAATTGAATTCAGTTGAAAATTTGCCTCGGGATAGAAGTTATAGACAAAGGAGTGAACCATAAACCCAAATTTGTTCAAAAGTTAAAATGAATAAAATTGCATTATATTCCTAACTCACTATATTGACAATTGCTGCAAAGTTGAGACTTAAGGCCTAGGCATAGGTTACCTGAATAACATCATAAATCTGTGGAATGTTGTGATGTCATAAAGTTACAGACAGCCACAGGTGAAAGCTTCATGTTGTTTCAGACCTGTATGACTGTGACTTCCCACTAGAGGGCTGGCAAGCAGAGGCATAGACAAGAGTGGAGAAAGTGGCATGTAGCCCCGAGGCAGAGAAACCAGCATGGGGTCTCCCCTCCCTCCACATCCAACAGAAGCCCAGCCAAAGCAGAAGGTAGTAGGGGAAAAATCTTGAAAAAATATTTGAAGTGAAGTGGAGAGGAGAGGGGAGTTGGAAATAAAGAAAAAAGGAGTGAAAAAAGATTTAAAGGACTAAAATCTTGTGTGTGTGTCAATTAATTGGGATTGGGTTGGAAGGGGGATTCAGATTAGGGGAAGCAAGTCATTGCTTGCTGGCAGCAGGGAGCTGTCCTGGCTCCAGTTGCTAGACCCTGGGTGTGACAGGGGCCATCTCAAGGCTGATCACATCAGCCCACTCACCTGTCTAGGGCAGTCTGCCCACCTGACTTTCCTGTCATGCCTTTGTTATAATGAAAAAGTGGTTTCTAGGAAAGAGGCTGCCCTTTTAATGCCCTAATACCCAGGGCATATTACACAGCTCTGATCTCCCCTTTACCATGTTTCATAGTTGTTAGGGTCGGAAGGGACCTGAGCAGATCACCAAATCCAATCCCCTGCCACGGGCAGGAAAGAATGCTGGGGTCAAACGACCCTGACTAGGTGTCTATCTAGCCTCCTTTTAAAGCATGCCTCGCAGATGTTACACTGGTATTGTCAACTCTGTGCACCCCCTTGGTGCCAGGCCTTTCTTCCCCTGTATCTCGTGCCCCTCTGGCGACCCGCTCTCAGGTACTAAGCTCTACCCAAATTGAGTGCCCCTATCTTTGGGCACTAATGAGGCCTCCACTTCTCCTACAGCCTCCTTCCAAACTATGGGGTAAATAGGAGCACAAACATAGGCACCTAGGTTACAACAACTCCCACAATGAAGGCAGCACTCAGCCCCTTTAAGGAGATAACACTGCCATCCCTAGGACAACACATCTCTTAGACCTGGGTGCCTTGGGACTCCTGGAGCCTTACTGTTTTTGTAGGCAGTAAAGTAGGTAGCACAAGGTCTCGGGAAGCTCTCTTATGCAGAAGCTCCTTTCCTTAGCAGTTGCTGGGGGAAGAGCTCCCCTGCTGGCTCCAGCCCTGAGCTTATATGTCCCCAGGGCCCTGCCTCCTTCAGGTGCTGGCAATTACCCCCATTAAAGCTGTTGTTTAGGCAACCGGCGGCTGTGGGGCTCTGCCACACCTGCGGAGTTCCCTGGCCAGGCTGCTTCTGTCCTTAAAGGAGCAGGCACATTTTAGTGCCCTGCTACACTGGGAATGGGGAAAAGATGTTTTCCCCAGCTCCAGGGTCCCACAACAGTTAGCCAATCTCAGTTGGAACAGTTGCATCAGTTACAGCCAGAGCACAGAGCCCCAGAGAGGCTGCTTCTCCAGGGCTCTGTGCTCTGGCAGAGCAGCTGGGGCCTGGCGAGAGCACACAGCCCCAGAGAAGCAGCCTCCCTGGGGCTCTGTGCTCTGGCTGAGACTGACATGGCTGCTCTGTGCTGAGAATGGGACCACCAGACAAATAGCAGAGCAACAAGGGCTTGGTAGGAGCACAGAAACCCAGGGAAGCATGCTTTCCCAGGGTTCTCTGGTATTACTGAAACTGAGCTTCCCACAGGGACACCATGCAGCTGCGGGGAAACAGGCTTCCTTGGCTCCATGGTCTCTGCAATTAAGCTGAGAACAGTTGCTCTCAGCAGGAAGGTGGGGAAAAGGAATCACTAGAGTTTAGAAGGGCAGAAAGGGATACAGCAGCTGGGACCTGAGCATCTGTAGATACTGGAAGAATGAGAGTAAAGTGTTTTACCTCCCCTGACCATTCAAATACTCTGGAACAGCATGAGTAAAGAATTTCCCAGATAAACCTCCTTTTCAGTGGCTTATCTTTAATATGTTTAGAGGGTACTTATGGTGGTTTAACACCCATTACCTAATGAATGCTCTCATTTTAAGTGTCTTTATGCTGTTTTTAAGGTAACCTATGCCAAGGGTCTCAGTAAAGGAAGTGGACTATAAAATTGAGGTTTTTTTAACATGGATTATTACTGTTATTATAAAGCTTTAGGCAACACAACAATTAAGCACATGGGACACAGATGGGGGGGGAGGGGAGGAGGGACTCAGCCCTTCCAAATTTAGGGCAGCCCAGCTGCAGGCTTCTGCAGCGGGGGGGCAGTGCACACACTCAGAT